TTTTCCCTTTCAATAAAAAAATAAATTTAATACAAATTTTAAATAAGATTACTATTTTACATTATTTATTGACTTTAAAAACTATAATTAACATTAAATTTGTCTACGATAAACACACACACATTATATATATATTTTTTTTTTAAATTAATTTTTTAATAGATAAATAAATTTAATATATAAAAAGAACAATTCTATTTTACATTCAACCATTGTCTCTATTTACATTCATAAAATTCTTTATGATTGTTCTGAATTTCGAATTTATTTTAAATTTATAAGTATAACATAATGTTAAAATATTAATTGTAAAACATAAAGTTTCCTATCTTTTTGTCATATTTAAATTTAGTTAGTTACAACACTATAATAGTGCGGAAGGGAAAAACATAGGAACCAATTTAACTTACAGCGTAGAGTCTCATATCTTCTGCCTTAATGCATTAATAAGCAAGAGTTTCGGACAAATTGCACAAGTTCTCCGCGTTATGCTGTCCGGCCGATGATTTCCGGTCTTCTTTACACGCTTCTAGTCGCGCGATGTTTTTCGCGTACCCGGCGCATGCACTCCACAACGAGACAGTGTGTACTACTTCATCTTGACGCGATACAGTTGACTTCAGCCGAAGCTCTAGTTATCCCCACGCCGGCGAGAAGCTGCGGCAACCACCTACGAAATCCCTCCAGCATCCGCGAAGCACGCCTCACACTCCTCACTTGTGTCGCTTACTTGGCGATCGGAGGAAGCAAGAGAGCTCCTCGTGAGTTTAACGATAAAGAGAGAGGCAGAGACAGTCGTGGAGGGTGAACGGCTTGCAGAGATTAGCGATGGATATGCGATGTGATAGGTATAGGATGCATGTTTCCGTATCAGTCGATGGCGGAAATTAACTCTTGGCAAATCTCGAGTTCATTTTCAGACTGGAATTCAAACTAAACAGGACTTATATGGATTTCTCAGGAAATCATGTCATTCTGCAAAAATTTACTTTTCTGCAGAGACGAGTAATCTTAATCATCTTATTTCGTAAGATGATTTAATACGTAATGATTTTTCTGGTCTTAAAGTTATTACAATATGCAAAGTACATAATCGAAGATCTTTCGTTTGTTTGGATTTTTGTTGTCTTATATTCATCAGTAGCGGAACGCAAGGTGGTGAAAGTGACATTGGCGGCTTGAAGAGGGGATTTTAATGACTCTTCAATTTTCCTCTCTTTCATTCGCGAATGTTATGCACATCGTTATACTTGCGGCACTCGATTTCACCGAAGCAATTAGATTAATTTTTGGACAGATGTTGGGTAAAGCATATAGATCGCGAAGACTGTTTTTATTACTTATCCAAAAAAATTTACGTGAAGTAAAACACGTGAATAAAGTGTATTTTACAAAGAAAGAATTGCTTTAAGATAAAAAATTGTAGGTATTACCTTTAAATACTTTATATCTCGATACCTTTTATGTAAAAATACGAAGCTTAGTAATACAATACAAATTAGAGATATCATTCTTATGACTTGTTATTATGTTTATTTCAATTTATGTTTGTCTTAACTTATGTATATATAAGTAAACGAAGATTTAAAGAAAAGTATAATTTATTAAAATTTATTAAAATTTATTAAAATTATTTATATCTTTTTTTACAATTTTTATCCGTAAGCTTTCCAGGATACTCTTTGGATTCTACCAAAGTTCAAGTCGCAGAGAAGACGTTGGTGGCTCAGCCTATCTGCTCGACCGATCTGCACAGTGGAAGTTGAGATATGTTCGCGCGCGCGTATATATATATATATATATATATATGAGAAATATAATATAATATACGCAATCATAGCTTTCATTTCGGCAAAAGAAGAACTACTGATTCTACTCTCAGTCTTTTATTTTCCTCTCTAGTTTTCCCTCATTCCATAAGTAGCAAGTTGTATGGTATGCCACGAAATCGGAACATGCGAATACTAGTAAATGCGTTTAATATGTTGAATATATCCCAACTTCTTAATTGTGTCAGTACTATCATTTTTTAAATTTATTTTTATAAAATAGTTACACAACAGTTAATATTGTGAACAGGCAATCACATACAATGATAAAATATTGATAAAACATTAAGAACAAAATAATCCAGCCAATCTTAGTTTCTTTAATTTCATAAGCATCTTTTCTGGTTATTCAATTACATTAATTGAAATATACTATGCACGTGTAAAATATAGCCGGTTCACGTAAAGGAGACACGGCAGTGTCTCACGCCATGCTTAGCGCCGAGACGCTATCGTGTCTCCAGATGTATTCTATATTTCTTTTGCTTGAAATGTATGCCTATTGAAAAAATATTTGTGACCCAAAATGTAAGTATCTCTTTCAAATTATTTATAGAAAATAATAGGAAAAGGAAATTCTTGATGGAAAAGGTTAAAAATATGACAAAGAGCACAATTTGAGATGATACGATAGATGTACACCGTTTCTTTCAAACTTGTTTATATTAACAACTGAAATTTACAATGTATTAACAATGTATGTTAAGAATATTTTTTCTTTTAAACAATGCTGTAACTATATGATAATCGCAACAATCTAAATTACACACTAATATACTGTTGGCTCTTGATTTAGATTATAATTTGGTTTATACAATATTAGATAATCGTAATTCTTCTTTGTTGCTATTTTAATATAAAAACATAAACGTTAAGAGTATAAATTATGCATTTAAATAAAGAAATATAACTACTAATTAATATTTGGTTTTGAATTACAACAATCTGTTAATTAAGTGATAGTCTATTAATTAACAAATCAATAAAAATTATTTTACATCATTAAGAATTATTAATAATATAATATCTATAATAATTATATACATTATATATAAGACTGAATTTGAGTTTATCACTTCAATTTTAACACGATGGAACTTATATTGGTCATTATATTGAAAAAGCCTTTATTATTCCATGTTACGTGATATAATATCTCTAAATAAGCTACCACATGTGTGGTTTTTTCGATCTATTTAACAAAATTATTAGTACTTTTCATAAAAATCACTCCTTTTTATTTTAAAGGGAATAGCACGGATTATCTGAGACACACTGTATATTTATAGCTGATTGATGAAAATAAAATTATTCATGCATTTTTATAATTTATATTTATAAAACGTTTATAAATATACATATGAATATAAATATATTTATAATGTATTTTATAAATATAAACATATTTATAATATATTCAGTATATATAAAATATATACATATATAATATAGGGTAACGTAGTCCAACAGTGAATCAATAGTACACTATGAACCATGGCGATATTTCGTAAATGCAACGTTATCAGATTGTGTTGCTATTATGCAGCGACTCGCATTTGAAATTTGAACCAGAACCTCTCCCCGACTCCCCAGCCCAGTCGACTGGCAGATCGCGCCAAGGACGGCCATGTCACATTTTAAGAATTTTAGGTTGCAAAATAAGTTTTTTTCGTAAGTTTTACGCATTTTTTATGTTTTTGTTGTTATACCTATCATTTTTTTTCATTGTGCAATAGTTTGGTGTGTACATTTGGCTTTATTATTCTGTAAGCAACTTTTTCTGTTACATTATTTAGGAAATTATCGTTGAAAAGGTTAGGTGATCTACAATGAATCATTTTGACGTAGTAAACAATGAACCGTATATTGTAGACCACATAACCTTTTTTATGATAATCTTCAAATTAATAATTTATTGTAATAATTATTTAGAATACGGCCCCTCCCCCCACCTAAAATCTCAATAAAAATATACTTATTTGACGAGTTTCCACTCAAAATGAAAGTAAAATGCGGTGGTCGGCCTTGTGAATCCTCACCACCTCATAATTATCTATTTTATAAATAAATTTTTTAAAATATAGCAAAACTAAAATAATCCCAACAATTCGCTGTATAAAACATGTAGTTTATTATTAAAAATAACATTCATTGTGTAATACTCCTTGTACACAATGAACCATTTTCCCGTTTTTTAATATAAAGGAAATTGTGACTAAACTTCAGGGATAATTTAAAAGTTATTATTTACAGTATGTAATCAATTAAATTCATAAACTGTGTACAAAAATTCAGATCTTCAATTCAATAATTAAGAGAAATACGAGCCTCTGAAATTTACATGATTCATTGTTGAACCACTTACCCTATACATATATAAATATAAATGTATTAAAATAAATAACTATAAGGTTCTGTATGTATAAAACAATATGACAATTAAAAAGGCATAGAACCATACTTAAACAAACAAATTTAATTAAATTAGAATCATAAAGTTAACAAACGTTTCGATTCCGATCGGGTCATTTTCAATGTTACAAAGGTAAATCATAAATAAAAGTACAACTATAAAATGTTAAATAAATGAAAAAACCATAACTATAACAATTCGTTAAATTGCCAGCAAATTCTTGTCTTTACTATATAAAAAATATCCTTAATCTTTAATTACAGTTACATCTTAAATAATAATGAATATGATTAAATAATATTTCATAAAATCGCAAGCGTAATCTTGTCGTTGAAATAAAAAGCGTAAGTTGTCCATTTGATATTTTAATCTAAGTTGCGAATGAAATCGTATCTTGTCGGTGAAATATAATTACACAATAATATGTGTCAGTGAAATATAAAAAAAATCCAATAATATATCAGTGAGATGTAAAAAATCCAGAAATGTGTGTTATAATTTTGCGTTGTAACTACACGTTGTAACTTTAAAATATTTTGCACTGATGTACGCGACACATTCTTGATCAAGTCAAATAATGTAACAATAAATGTATTAATAATATAAAATAAACAATATATAAATGATATAAAATAAACAATATATAAATAATATAAAATGAACAATATATAAATGAATATATAACTGAGTAATACAAATTACAAAAACTTTAAAATATTACAATAAAAAAATTATATAATTAGAGCACATTTGCTAAGTTATAAGGTAATATTACACAGTGTAGTGTGTAAAGCCCTACAACTAGCACCAGGTATGTTGAGGCCCATAATGCATCCGGTTATGAAATCATAAAATGTTAGTAAATCAGATGCAAACTGAACATCAAAACAATAATGCAGTTTAACAAGAATATCGAAGGCAATTATTGGATCGTCGCCAACTGAAATTAAATTTTCATCAGTCTTTATATAAAATTGTCCTTTCTTTGTTTGTCCAATCACAAAGCACACCAAAAACGGTTGGATATCTTTTGGTTTTTGAGACAAAGTTTCATCTTCTTCATTATTTACAAGTAAATCTTCCATTGTCTATATTAAAAAGTAAAAACAATATGCATGGCTTATAATATAAGGTATCTATAATGCGCATTGGCTGTATTGAAGTTTATAATGTACGATATCTTTTTAATTACAATACTCACATGAATAAATTGTAATAAATTTCGGTTTGGAATTTGTTTAGGGGAAAAATTCGATGCTTTAATTTTTGCACCTTTTGAATTATCTTCCCTCTAAAATTATAATTAATATTGATAGATTCATGTACGCACGCTCTTTTCATGAAAATTATTTTGAAATCGGAAATTATTTTTGAATGGCTTACAGATGTTTTCGTTTTTGCGTAGTTCGGAGAGGGCAACAACTCCGGCAACAAAATCAGAGCTTTGAAATTATCTGTAAAGCATAAAAAAGTATCAATTACACACAAAAGAAATGTTCAAGTTATAGAAAAAAATCAAGTTCTTGTTATAACTAAACTACGCATTATCATACCATCATCAAAATCGTCCACTTTTTGGAGCAAGTACTCCTTTTTCATGTGACAGAATTTCAAAATTCTTGGCACATAGTAAGATGAAAAATTTCTTAAAAATGTATCATTATTTGGAAACATCGATATAAATTCCCTATGAATCTGAAAGAATGAATGAAATTCTGAATAATGTAAATCATTTGAATGAGGAAAGAGTTACATATTTGCAAATTATTTTTCATACTTCAATTAACATACCATTTCTCCATTGTAATCTTTTAATTTTGGATATAATCTAAATATATCATCTATTATCATCTGTTCGGAATTTTTTATGCTCCTTTGCCTGTTAGGTCTTGTTTCATCTAATAATTGTATAATACTCGGCTTATTGCTATCACTAGATATTTTGAATATAAGCTCACAACACTGAAAGTAATAAATTGTCAACAATGATTAAATATTTTTATAAGAAAAAAAATCTATAAGTATGTATATATTATACTTGAATTAGAATTCTAAAATGCTGATTTTCTTTACAAATGTCATAAGTACCTTTTCTTGAAATACTTCTTCATCGAGATATTCTTGTTTCACAAATTGTGTCCTCTGTCTTTTAACATTAATTTTTTTAATTGTTGGCTTAGCCGATGCCCTTTTTTTCTTTGTGGGACTTAGTTTTACTCGCATATTTTGGAAGCGATATTGTATAAAGCCGCTGTTTGTCGTCTTATCATAAAAATGCTCCTAAATATGTATATAAATTTTGTTAAACAATAGTATCAATATATGAATTACAAAAATACTTACATAACCTTCAGGCGAGTGTGAAGATCGTAATTTCGGAAAAGCATTGACGATTTCCTTAGCCAATTCTGTTTTTAATTGGCTAGATGGATACCTTTCAAACAAGATTCGAAATAAAAACGTTATATAGTAATATAAACAATTAAGTTTTGAATAACGTATTTTATAAATTTGAAAAAATAATGATAACGTACATATCATTGCTGAGTTTGACTATTTCAGCACATACTATTCTAATGAATTCTTGACGATCGGTGTTTCCAACAATACCAGAATCAAGAACGCTTAATAATGGTACCTTTCTTGTATGTTTAGCATCATATGCTTCAATCCAAGCTCGAACATTTAATTCATTTTCTGCGTTGTTAGGCTAAATTTATTCAAAATATATACTCTGATCACTTTTATATTATTTATTTATTTTCGTAAAACGAATTACGTATTTTTTAAATATACATAATAGAATATCTTTTTAGAGTTTATATAATAGCATAATTAATACCTGCTGAATATTTATATTTTGTGGATGCAGTAAAATAGGGACATTTTGTACATTATTTACGTCATCTACTACAGAATTTTTTGGTTGCTCAACTTTAATGATTTCATTACCAGTAGTTGACGCAATTGTAGATATATTATTTTGAACTCCATATATAGGTCCATTAACAATAAAACAATTCTGTATACAGTTACAATAAGAATGTTAGAATTTCTTCATGTAATTGATTATACATACATATTTATTTCTAATGATTAATTTAAAAATACCGTTGCTTTTGCTGCATTAATCAAATTCAATAGTCTTTTCCTGGGCCCCGTTTTTATTTTGAGTTCTTTTAAATCAGTTTCCGTCAGCGAAAGAAATGCTTCGCCATCAACAAATTCATCTGCAATATACACAATATTTAAAAAGATATGAATTATATGATTTTTTGAATCGCTGACTCTTAAGTGAACCTAATCCGAAGAGTGGAGGATATTCAGCTTTTATTCAATTATTTTCTTATATGTTAAAAGTTAATTCATTTACTAAAACTGTATTATTAACAAATCAGTAACGCAATTCAAGTCAAATTACATAGATGTATGTATTCATCGTACAAAAGATTTCATTGAGTCATGCCAAAGCGGATACAAATTTACTAAATCGATCTAATATTCTTCGTAGTGAATATTTAGAACTGAATTGTATATTACACAGTAATGTATTACTTTTATAAGAGGAGCATGTACATATAGTTAAACTTGAATTAAATTTAAACATTTTAAAATCAACTTTGTCTACGGGCTTCTTTCACCAACTTATTAAATTAATCGTCTCGTAGAAGTGCCAATAACAGTTTAATATATCAGAACGTCTCCTCTCTCTTCCTCTTTTGAGACAAACTGTGTTTACACAGCGTTTAGTTCTCACATTGACAATCGTACCGATGTGAATCTGGCGCTCAACTTTATCAAAAATAAAAATTAATACCGTAGGGCGTTTGTACTTCATTTGTACTCGTTTGTATCCCCCTTATTTTCGTTTGTACTCCAAACAGTTAAACAAAAAATGAAATATAAAAATTGGCCAGCGTTCAACTTTAACATTTTTTAATTTCATTTATGCCATTCGAAAGAGAATCGTTTGTACCCGTTTGTACCTCTTTTACTTTCGTTTGTACCTCAAAGGGTTCGGAGATACAGCGATTTCAAAATTTCGGAAATACGCCAAGAGGAGAAGTCGGCCATTTTTAAAGATATCGAAATGGGACCAACGGCATTCGAAAGAGAATCGTTTGTACCCGTTTGTACCTCCCTTACTTTCATTTGTACCTCAAAGGGTCGACTTCCCCTCTTGGCGTATTTCCGAAATTTTGAAATCGCTGTATCTCTCCGAACCCTTTGAGGTACAAACGAAAATAAGGGAGGTACAAACGGGTACAAATGATTCTCTTTCAAATGCCATTGGTCCCATTTCGATATCTTTAAAATTGGCGAATTTCGCTATATAGGGGTTGCGCAAAAATTGAAAAGCGCCGTATCTCCGAACCCTTTGAGATACAAACGAAAGTAAAGGAGGTACAAACGGGTACAAACGATTCTCTTTCGAATGACATAAATAAAATTAATAAATATTAAAATTGGGTGCTGGCCATTTTTTATATTTCATTTTTTGTTTAACTGTTTGGGGTACAAACGAAAATAAGGGAGGTACAAACGGGTACAAACGAAGTATAAACGCCCTACGGTATTAATTTTTATTTTTGATAAAGTTGGGCGCCAGGTTCACATCGGTGACAATCGTGATGATTGAATCAACCATCGATTAACGTTAATCGAAGTTTATGGAAAAAGTCCGGGTGCAGATACAATAATAAGAAATAAAGAATTATAAGAAATAAACAAGGAATAACAAATTTCAATCTATTAGAAATTGGATATCCAGTTTCTGATTGTTAAAATTATTGTTGCTATTTCTTACTCCTTCTATTGCATCTGTCCTTTACGTGACATATTTTTGTAATTCACCTTGCAGTATTTTCAGAACCTCATGTGGCACCCCTTTAGTGAGTAAATATTCATTTAATGCAGTCGGACTGTTTAATGTGTTCTGCGAAAATAAATATTAATTTGTACATAAAACTCATCCTGCAATTGCGTAAACGTAGTTGTAAGTGGTTGTAGTTGTAAGAATTGATCAGTCACAATCGAATATTCTCCTCATATTCGACTGTGATTGAAGAATTCTACGCTTAAGGTGAGATTTCACAGGAATATGCACATCCACAATATTGCCTCTATTATGATCCTTTATAATAGATCGGAAAACCATACAGGGATCTAAGAGGATATTATCCCACTCTCACCAGTATAAACTAAAAATAGAGCAAGTGAAAATTCAGATTCCAATATCTCGTCATAAACATCTCTTATTACGTTTTCTCGAAGAGTGAAACATCGAAATATCGGAAAATGATGTGTTGATAATCAACCTACGCTGGATTTGTAGATCTCGAGTACAAAATTTGTATATGTATATTATGATCGAGAGATACTTATTCTTTTAAGAGACTGAAAAATTAGAAAAATAATTTACAACTTAGTACTTAAAATAGTGGGGCGATTTACATTCGAGTGACGAGTATTTTGCGCAAACGCTAGTCGCTTGCGTACTTAATGTACATATCTCGATGTATAGAGGAAAGTCGCCGATACTGACAGGTCTGCTAAAGTGACACCCTCTTATTTTTCGGAAACTAACTATTGCACTTTATTAATACTAATAAAATCATGATCTGTTTAGCTAATTAAAGAAGTACAAACTCATAATTCGTAGGTTTGTGGCTTGTTTCTATAACAAATGCGAAAATAAAATTCTTACGATTTTCTTTTGCAAATTGTGAGGTTTAAATAATAGTGACTATATTATTGATAATATTACGTCATTTTAAACACTTGTAGTTTCCGAAATAAGTTTTATTTATATTATTTTTTCTCTTAGTCTTTTCATAATACGATTTTTAATTTAAAATTGGGGTGCAGCGTAAACCGACACATCTGTCCGTAAAACAGACCATGAGCTAACTTAATCTTTATAATGTTGCTTTATAGTGTCAAATAAGTCTATTAGAGCTGAAGACAATCGTGCATATATGGAACAACTCTAGAAAAACTATCGCGTTACATATTCGCATCTTGCAGAACAGCATAAAGTAAATATGCATATAATTCAATAAAAATGTTTTATAACGAAGTAAAATTGTTCTGAAAAATCTTATATACATTCACTTTATACAGATAATTCCTATAAAAGAAAAAGAATAGGAATACGTAGCATTACTGCCTACTGTGTCAGTTTTGGAGCCCATTTTGTCAGACGCTCATTTTTGCATAACTTACGAAAAACTTAATTATTGCAAAATTGCTAACAATATTATAAAAATTGCTTATACTCTCTGATAGAAGATACTTTTTACTTTATGTTTTTGAAGTCGTATTTTTACCTTTTGTTTAAGAAATTGTCTAAAAACAAAGTGGTATGTTGGTATCGGTGACCTTCCTCTAGTTCGATCGCATCAAATTATCGGAGATCATATAGGCTGCGTTCGAAAATATCGCTCAAGTGCCTCCACGTTTTGTCTTTGTTGTTCACTTAATGTTACTGAACAATGGACAAGATGATACATCCTAAAAATCCCCTCTATCGAAATCTGGCTACGATTTTGTCAAAATTCTACGAAAGACCCAAATAGCACATTATATTTCTGAGAATATAATAAAAAGATCACGTCTGATATTCATATGATATTCCTATGTCCGCAGCATATCCTCAGAATATCGAGATGAATTTCGAAAATTTTCCTTAAGAATGTGTGTAAGAAATATTTATTAAAAATAATATTCTGTTAGCGAAGAATATTATTTTTAATAGACATTTCTTACACACACACTCTTAAGGAAAATTTTCGAAATTCATCTCGATATTCTGAGGATATATTGCGAACAATATTGCTATGCGGACATAGGAATATCACACGAATATCAGACGTGATCTTTATATTATATTCTCAGAATATTCTTAGAATATAATGTGCTATCTGGGGATATGCATAATTTCAGCTTATATATGTACTGTCTCACTCTATAATCTTAATTAAAATATAGAGTGAAACATATAGTGAAACAGTATAAGTTAGAGTGAAATAGTACATATACAGGGAGAAATTATATATATTCTCCCCTCTACTAGGATTTTGAGAAAATCGTTGATCGCTCGTAGCCAGACTCCGATAGGGTCTCGATGCATCCGAAGTATCGGAGGCAATCGGAGGCATCCGAGTGATGTTTCCGAACGCAGCCATATCCGGATGTGGAGAAAGCGCTCCGTTTTCAGCTATGCTGATGAGAGTGGGGGCAATTAACTGAATATGGATATCTTCATGAAATCGCACCTTTACGCAGTTGTAGAAATAAGGGCTCGATACAGATGTAAAATGGGTGTATATTTACGTATTGTTATATAGCAGTCATATCTGTTTGTTGGGAATTTATATGGAAATTCTCGTATCTTTCTCGAATTAAATAAATGATACTTACCTGTGGCAAAATGTTCGAATTCATCGCGTACAATGCATGCATAATCAATCACAATCACACGAAACAAACGATTCACACTTAATTATCTTACAAAATGCGTAGTCTATTGTCTCTCGGAAACGAAAATGGCACATTGCCGAGTTTAATCGCTAAAACGTGTTACGAACAACCAAGATGGCACCATCTCGTTCATAACAGCAAAACGACTGTAGCGCTCCTAGCGATTGAGAATTCACTCTATTGAAGTGACGTTCAATGCATCTTGCATTGAATTATCAACAGATGCTTAAATCACTTTGATTGATCGAGTGAAATAGCTACTTACTCATACACAAGAGTAGACCGATTAATTCCAAAGGAGTGAAAGTTTACTCTTAAAGATTCATTCTTGAAGTAGTTGTCACTCGCTCTGGTTAAGAGTGAAATTTTCAGTAGGTATTAAAAGTATAGAGTGAAGGATAAGCTCTCAGATTGGGATATTTACCTACATCGATTTTTGAAGCTTTTGCTCAAATATTCTTTCATTATTACTATTATAACAAAATAATAGATATAGAAAGTACAAAATACTAACAGTGTCTTCTTAAATTAATTAACCCCCCCCCCCATATTAGTACAATTTCGGATAGAATACAATATCTGTATGAGTTAGTACAAATCCCTTCTTCTCTTATCTAAAACACCGACGAAACATTATTAAAGATGTTCCTGGGCAAATTTTTGTGATCACCAAAAAGGCTCTGAGGGGTCGGAGGTAATTGAAGAACGATGATATTATCGACAATTGATATAAATTTGCGAATATTATAAACATATAAATATTTGGATAATATATTGCTAAATTTTTGATTTTTTATTATATAAAAGCAGCATAAAATAAGTATACATACTTGCAATGTTATAATATTTTATATACTGCCGCAAAATTACAACTTTTTTCTCTACAGTTATCATCTCTATTGATAATCAAACTCGGACGATAACATTAAAATCATGGTTCTAAATAAAAGTCGTATATTATAAATTGAGTTTTAAATATACATATATATGTGTCTCTATAAAATTGATATAAATCATAAAATTAGTATTACGTTATCAGTTTCTTATTCTTAATTATTTAAATTTTACCACACCAACTTCCGTAAGGCTGGCTACCTTTGCATGTAAGACGTACGATTATTTGTAATCTACGATTTCTCGTAAATTTTACGGCTAACAAGAAGTTGTCTGTATATATAAAGATATTATATAAAGAAAAGGTAATGAATGTTACGTTAGCGTTTTAAGTTTTATTAAACTTCTTTTAGAAGAAAACCATAAAATTGAACAAATTATTATTATTCTATCAAAAAAAGTTTCATCAGAATCTTAATTTGTTTACGATTCTAAAATTAACGCATTTATTTCTGTAAAAACTGTATTGTATAATAAAAATAAAATTTTATATAAATTCCATAAAGAAATAATAATTGATGTTTTTTGTTTGATTATTTTTTTCTCTCTTTTTTTAAATAAATGAACCGTGATATAATCGTATTCGCAGAGAAGAGAAAATAAGGGAGAAAGAGAAACATAACTCACTTACATAATAAAATTAAAACTTATACTGTGTTAGTAAAAGTACGTGATGTAGAATATATTAAATCGTATTTTAATGATATGGTGCAATACTGATGACTGGACGTGACTGAACGTTTACTTCTTATAACATTTTACATGTCATGGTAAGATGTAGTTTAAATGCGGTGAAAGGAATATTAGTTATACGCTTGAACATTATGCACAGATAGACATGTGTGTACATACATAATATAGTCTGTACTTGCTTATTACAAAAATTCGCAATGAAATAATTACAGTTGCTGAGAAATTGTTTAAATCCTAATTATTTTATCAAATCGTCAGAAAGGGATGTTATTCCTCTTGCAGAACGTGCGAGATTGGTAATCGAAATGAAACATTGCTGGTACGTATTTTCCTTCTAAACATTATAGAAAGCGACAATATTTCATATACAAGACGGTCATGAATTAATGAGAACAGGTTGAAATTGTGTCGTCAAATTATAAATATATATTTTTTTAAATTCAAAAGTGACGAATACACATAATTCTTTTTTAATTTTAATTTTTAATTAAAGATGACGAAGAGCTGGATTATTTTATGGATTACTCCGTAAATACAGGGGATGACTTACGTCTATATAAAAATTCTGTAAGCAGTTTGTAAATTCGAAATTTGTCTCGAAATATTTAATGAAATTTAAAGTAGCCTATTGTCTAATTAAGAATAATTAGACAATAGGCTACTTTAAATTTCATTAAATATTTCGAGACAAATTTCACACATTGATTCCTATTTTTTTAATTGCGTGGACACTTGTCCATGCAATTAAAAAAATTGGAATCAATGGTGCTTGTTATTTCATTTAATTTAAACGAATTACTTGCAGTTTTGAATATTTTTAACTTGCTTCTTCTATCACATGTTGCGGGAGAGGAAATAAAGATAAGTA